GTGGCTGGCCCAGCCCTAAACCACGACAATAGCTCAGCCCTCTGAAACCTTGATACCTTCCTGGTACTATGCTTTGCAACAAAAGCCCACTATGGAAACCCTGCTGAGTCTTACTTTATGATGTTCTCCAAATAATTTTGTTAGAATGTTTCAAAACCCATACTTGTCTGTGAAGAAAAGCGTTGGAAAAAAAGTTGCATTAGAATGGGCAGGAATTTAAAAACAAGCTATTAAAAATTAAAAGGGAATAAAAAAGAAAAACAATTCAACAAAATTGGGAGGGGAAAAAAAAAGATAAAAAAGCTGTAAGTGATACATACCTTCCCAAAGATGTGTAAGCAAGCAAAGGGTGAAAAAAGGAAATCTCCCAAAATCACTTTTCCCATTTCATATGCAAAAAAAAGGAAAACTTTGCTCTCCAGGAACTCTGAGACACAAAGACTCAGCAATTTTTGCTGCCATTAAGCAAATACACATTATGGGGCAGCCCATTCATACACTTAAGTATGTGTTTAACTTCCTTTAGCTTAATAGTTCCATTGACCTCAGTGAGGTTACTCATGTGAATAATGTTACTAATGTGTTTAAGGATTTAGAAGACTGTGACCAAATACAGGGCTAGCATCTGCTTCAAAAGTGCAATTAGAAAAAGCTAATAGAAAACAGGTGATATAATTGTGAAAAGAGGTCAATTACATACACAAATATCTATACATTTTATATACACCAAAAAGCTATTTAAGAAAATAGAGCCCAGTATCTTCCGTTCCTTCTTATATTCCAATTTAATTTTAATTGTCATGAATTTCAAATCTTTCCATTCGTTTAGACCACATTTCACCACCCTTTACACTGGAATTTTTTGTCAATGTAAGACAAAATGTGGCTGAAACGTGGCATGATGATAACTTCTATCAAGGAAAATAAGACTTCTCAGCCAATGCTGCAGTGTTTCATTAATAAAATAGAAAAGCAACAAATCAGTTAGGTGTTTTCAGTACTTCATTTGGTACAAAACAGCAAAGCAAGCTGTTTTAAACAGCAGCTCTTTAGCACTCCGGCTGAACAGCTCTGTAGTGGGCAGATCACCCACCCGAGTGACAAGTTGTGTCATGCTGAAAAGGGGTTGCTCAGGACTACAGCTAGCACACAGAAAACAACGCTGGAAATGACCTCAAGAGGTCTTGAAACCTATCCACATACTTTGTCAAATTTGTTCAGCCTGCTCATAAAGTTACCCAAGTCATTCGCCTTGTAAGCAGCCACTTCTTTGCTGAATTATTCTTAACCTTTAAAAAGGCTTCCCTAACCTTTGATCGAGGTGTCCTTAGCTGTAACATAAACATGTAACTTCTTATCCTATTCTCTATCCTTCCTGGCAGCAATTTCACATTTTTAAGTTG